CCCCTGATATGACTGTCTTATTGGTTTGGCCATAAATTTCATTCTGTTTTTGAGTAAAAATAAGAGGCACATTGTTCTCTCCTTTTATGCCCATCAAGATTTGCTTTACATATTTAGGTGCTCCTATGTTGGCTGTATGAATGTTTACAAGGGTTATATCCTCTTGTCTGATCACTCCCTTTATTATTATGTGAGGGAGTGTCCTTTTTTGTCTCTTACAATAGCCTTTGCTTTAAAGTCTTTGTTAGATATAAGTATTGCTATCCCAGTTATTTTTTATTTCTGTTTGATCGAATTATCTTTTCCCTGTTTACTTTCAGGCTGTGTGTATCTTTCATTCTGAGGTGGGTCTCTAGTAGACAGCACATATGTGGGTCTTGTTTTCTTATCCAATTAGCTACCTGTGTGTTTTAATTAGAGCATTTAAACTGTTTACATTTAAAGCGATTATTGATAGATATGGATTTGCCATGTAATTGTTTTAACTATTTAACTATGTTCTAGTTTTCTTCTCCTCTTCCTCCTCCACTTCTTCCTCCTCCTTATCTCCTCCTTCTTCTTTGTAAAGAACACCCTTTAACATACCTGGTAATATTGGGTTGGTGGTAACAAACCCCTTCAGCTTTTTCTTGTCTGGGAGGCTCTTTATTTCTCCTTGAATTATAAATATACTGGCTAGGTAAATAGTTTTGAGTGTAGGTCCTTGATTTTCATCACTTTGAATATTTCATTCCAATCCCTTCTGGCTTGAAATGCTTGTTACATAATCAGCTGACAGTCTTGGGAGCTCCCTTGTAGGTAACTTTCTCTTGCTACTTTTAAGATTCTCCCTTCGTCTTTAACCTTTGCCGTTTTAATTATGTGTCTTAGTGTGGCCCTCTTTGGCTTTATTTTTAGGGAATTTCTGCACTTCCTGAAATTGTATGTTTTTTTCCTTCACTGTGTCAAGGAAGTTTTCAGCCATTTGAAAAAAAAAAAGATTCTGAACCCATTGCGCTCTCTCTTCTTCTGGTGTCCCTATGATTTGATGTTGTTACATTTCATGTTTCCTAAAGATCCCTTAAACTATTCTCATTTTCTGAAATTCTTTTTTTCTTTTTACTGCTCTCATTCGATCTTCTGTTTCTTCCAACCTACTGTTTATTCCATGGAGTGTATTTTTTATTTCAAATATTGTGTTACTTATTTCTGACTGGTTCTTTTTATGTTTTCTTCATCCAACCTACTGTTTATTTTTTTCTAGTGTATCCTTTATTTTATATATCATATACTTTATTTCTGACCTTTTTTTTTGGTACAGTTTCTATGTCTTCTTCATGCTGTTGTAGTTCTCACTAAGTTCCTTAAACATCCTTACAACCATTTTTTTTAAACCTATGTCTGGTAGATTGCTTGTCTCCATTTCATTTACCTCTATTTTGGGAGATTTCTCCTGTTCTTTCATTTGGGGCATATTTCTTTGTCTCCCCATTTTGGACACCTTTTTGTGTTTGTTTTTAAGTATTAGGTAAATGTGCTATGACTCCCAGTCTTAGGGTGGCCTCATATAGTAGGTGTCTTAGGGGACCCTGTAACACACTCTCCTTGATCACCCAAGCTCCATGCTCCAAGAATCTCTCTTGTGTGAGTTATGTGGGCCCTCCTATTGTAACTGATTATTGATGATTACTGGCCTATTCATGCGTGGAGTCAACTTTCAGGCTGGCCGACTGTGAGTGTCAACCCCAAGCACAGTGCACGGGCCACTGTGCCAGTGCTGACCACACAAAGCAGGATTTGCCTCAGCAGTGTCTAATGCCTGGGAAGGTCTCCCTTTGGATGCACTGCTTGTGGTACTAACTGAATCCTGCTCTGATGCTGTCTGAGTCTCGCTACTGAGTTGTTGTTTCTGGGGCCTCTTGGAAGGGACTTTGGTGCAAACCAATGTCAGACACTGCTTGTGACTGGCCCTGGTCAACCTGTTGGGAGTTAAAAAGTGATCCACAGTTTGTGACTACCTCTGCTAAGCCCGGGTTTGTGTGGGTAGGACCAAGCTACACACCAAGGCTGGCTTTTACCAGCACCATGCCTTGGGGCAGGTCAGCTAAATTCCTGAGACACCCCAAGACCTGCCTCCACCTGCAGGCTTCCTGTTAGCCTCGGTCACTGAAAGAGCCTCTGGAAGTACTTGAGTTGCATTAGGTATGTTCTCAGTGAGTCACCAGGGAGAAGCAAGTGGTGTTCACTAGATTAATATAAATTCAAATGTGGTGTCAGTGCTAGGTACGATGCCACTCAGCTAGTGCCCCAGCATGGACCATCTAGCTGGCACCTGCCGAGTGCTTGCACATCTTTGCGGTAGGCTGTAGTCTCAGGGATTCATCAAGGTTAGGCCGGCAGAGTTTATCAGGACCAAACAAACCAAGATTTGGCCATGTGAAAAGAGGACTCTGTACCTGTCGTGTGTGCTAGGGAAAAATGGCCTGCATCCCAGAGCTACATAACTCAGTCTCTCCAAGATTCTTCTAGGAGCCTGATTTTAGTAGGACAGGGCTGCCAGGAGTTGAGAGGATGAAGCTAGAGGATCTTCTTGTCAGGGGGAGGTGCTGGTCAGGCTTGGGGGAAGGTAGGGACATGGCCACTGCCCCAGAGCCACACAACTCAGTCTGTCTCAGATTCTACTCAAACTTTGGCAGGATAGAGCCACTAGGAGTCAGGAGGGTGGAGCTGCCAAAGGCTGGAGAGCGTGGCTAGTGGATCTCCCATGAGTGGGAGGTGCCGGTCAAGTTCATGGAAAAAATTAGAGGAATGGCTCTCACCCAAAAGCTACACCATTCAGTTGCTGACACCTCCTGAGTCCGCCAGACCTTTCTACCCTGGCCCAGGCAGCTTATTCCTCAGTAGAATGCAAGCTCTCCAGAGCTGGGGGACAGAAAGTCCAGAGGGTGGGGTTATTGTATCTCCCTAGGCTGTTATGTGGCCAGCCCTCTACCTGCCTCTGCCCTTCCTAGCAGTCTTGATGTGGCTTCTTCTGTAAATGCTTGGTTTGAACACTTCCCATCAGCTACTCCAGTAGGTTACTCAGGTTGAGTGCTCTATATTTTAGTTGTAATTCCAGTTTGGCTGGGAGGAAGTAAGTATAGCTTCCACCCACTGTGCCACCATCTTTGCTCCTCTTAAATATTTTGTTTTTTAAATCAAAATAGCTAATGTGTTTTTGTTATAGGTTAGTAAACTTTGAACAGTACTACTTTCTCTGTGATGTTTCACTACTGTTTTTAATTTGACAAAAAACAAAAAACAAACCAAAAATTTTACAATGAGGATTCAAGATAGTTAGCAAATCAAGTTATTTTATTTCTCTGTCTTAAGATAACTAATATGATTCCAGCTACTGAAAAACTGTTACACTATATTTAATTATGCTATTATTTCAGAAATAAAGGACCTTTTTCTTTATCACTAACCTAACATTTCTTTCTCCACTGAAACAAAAAGTTCTCAAGTTTGAACATAAAAGTACCATTTATATAAATGGTGGAGGGCATTTGGTGAGACTTTACCTTATTATAACACCACATTATAGAGCAAGATCAAACAGTTTAAATTTCCATGGCAACACTTTCCCGTTGAATAGAAATACAAATAATATTTTTAAATAAAAATCTGATAAAAATTGTGTACTTATTACTTTGTACTTGATGATGATTTCATATGGCAGTATTACAGAAAATAAAACTTAGATCTAATTCCAGAACATAAATATTATTTTGCAACTCCTGACAGAGAATATATAGTTCCGTCAAGCGATGTTTTGTGCTTTGCTGTTTATAAGTTGGTCTGGCTAAACCACAGAAATTCAGTCCAGATCACTGTTTCTTGGAAAATCCTCCCTTAGCAGCCATTCCTCAAAGTATATCAATTAATCCAACATGGACCATAGAGCTCAGAAATCTGGGGACACCAGATGAAATATGGGTCGTCTGTTATTGGGACTATTTTAGACTCCAGGCTTAATTGAAACAGTTGGTAGATAAGAAGCCAGAATCCAAAAATGCTTTTGCATAATTATAATTAAACATTTACACATAAATATGAAAAGTTTGTACAGACTTGAGTGTGTGATGATACAGTTAACTGTAAATCAGGTGCCCTAGTCCTTGTTCAGCAGTGATGGCTGAGCAAACCCATCAGGTCTCACTGATGGTTTATGTCTTGCAGGGTTTTGCTGATAAGTCATTTCATGCAGAGCTCATTTCTATTCCCCAAACATGTCCTTACTGCTATTTATTTTTCTCTGCTTCCCTTATCAATATCCCCTACCAGTTCCAACAGGTTTAGAAGAAAAAAGACAACTGTATCACTTGCAGAATTTCCGTATACTTTTCAAATAACATTATATTAACTAATGGGTACTCTGAGCTGCTACTTACATTTCTCCTTTCAAAAATTCCACTTGAAGCAATCATTCTGCTTAATCTTTAGTACAGCGATCTTTGGGTGTATTCCGATATACGGACTACACAGTTTCTTGTGTGTCGGCGAGTGGACCTAAGACATAAGGGTGCCTGCTGTGGTTCTGCTCTATTAGGAACTTGCACACTCTTCGTTTCCCCCTTTAGACAAAGGGGGGCTTGCTGGCATATGAAACTGTCTGCATTTTATACACACATTAATTTTTTTTTCCAGAGAGCTACTCTCTGCAAAATTTTTACCTGGCTCCATAAAGAGAGTCACCCAGAAGTCACATAATAGTATGAGGTAAATTTATATTCTTGTCAGGGAATTCTCTGGTACCTCAACAATGAATAGAAACTGTCAAAAACAATTTTTAGCTTTTTGTTTCTTTAATTCAACTTTTGAGGGAGAAAAGTTTGCAAAGTTATATAGCATTTAACAAGATAACATCAAGATTTAGGTAGTTGGATTGACTCTTTGGAATTTCTCTGAACCCAAAGTTATTTCGTTGAGATCTTTTGAAAAAAACATTATTTCCTAAATCTGCTCTTATTTCTTTTTAGGTCAGTCTCGATTCTCGAGTGAGAGAGGTAATCAACAGAAATCTGTTGGATCCAAACCCCCACATGTACGAAGACGCCCAACTTCAGATATACACCTTAATGCACAGAGATTCTTTTCCAAGGTTTTTGAACTCTCAGATTTACAAGTCATTTCTTGAAAGTACTGCCAGCTCTACTTCTGAATCTTAATTTTCATTTTAAAATGTCTCTTGGGAGGGCTGGGATGGGACACAGACGTCGTTAAATAACACCAGAAGCGGAGTCCCTGGAGAACTACAGTTTAGCATTCCTCGGGCTACTGTGAAAATACAACCATGTGGTCTTTGTCTCCATTTTTATCAGGGTTATCCATGGCTAAGTTTGGAGAAAATACCACGTAAAACAATGAATTGCCAAATTAAGTTTGTTTTCTTGAACACTCATTCTACTTGCAAGCAAACTGTGTTTGTAGTCCCACGAACAGTCTCCTAGCATATCTCCACAGGCCGCATGTGCGAAGTAAAACTGCTTCATTTGCCACATAGTTGTCGTAATATTTAATCCAATGGCATAACTTATATCTGTATTTAAGGACTTTTGTGCAATATGGTCTTACAGAGATTAATGCCAAAAAGTTGGCTGGGGTTTGCATTTTAAAAATACAGTCTAAGACAGAAAAAGCCAATTTTTAAATTGTAACAATGGTATTCAACCTGCTATATACTGTGTTCAGTACACTCACTTTGAAGCCAGTGTTCCTGTACATGAAAAAAGAGCTATTTATCTCTGTTTGTTGGAAAACCCTAACAGGGGGTTCCTCTGGTGGTCAGTCCACTGCCAAAACTGTGGCATTTTCATCACAGAAGAGTTCGTGGTGTAAAAAATAATAACGACATGAAAAGAGGAAAAAAAGCACAAAATAATTTGAAGATATCCTATCTTGATGACAACTCAGAGTGATTTTGTTTTTAATCGTAACAGAAGAAAATGAATCTATGTATATATCACATGTCCGATACTGTAATTAATTTATTAAAGACTGGCTCTCCAGTTCTAAAACAGTTGTGTTATGGATGTACTTTAGCAAGAAAAAGATAATAAGCTTGATCACTTAGGTTTGGAATGTACAGAAAAAACTTAGAGTACCTACATGTAGCATCATAAAAAAATTTTTGACGAAAAGCATCTCTCCCTGCGGCATATTTCCTTTGAAAGTAAAATCCAATGGGAAGCTAAATTTTAAATCAAGAACAGTTTTGTAAGGTTATGAAGAAGAAAATTCTCTACTTCAGACCTTGTTTCCACATAGTATCTTAAGAATTACTTGTTTTAAAAATGTCAAAACCAAACTATTAATCCTCATCGGTGATTGCAAGGCAGTGCAGTGCTCATATCTCCTAGCTGCCACGTTGTTTTTTAAAGTATCCCCGAGTCTTTAGGACAACATAGGTGCCTGGTGTTGGCACTTACTTTTGACATTGAAGAAAACAGTATCCTCTTGCCCCCCGCCAAATGTCAGTGTCATATCTATATCTAGGTGTTACATTTGAATATTAATATCCCCTGGAGGCTATTTTTTTAATCTTAAACTTATTAAGTATTGAGTAACCTAAAATGGAAGTTTTAAAAATATTTATAGAGAATACTGGCCTTATATTAAGGATGATATTAAAATAGGTTTTCTTTGTCATTTTTAACTACCTCTCATTTTTTAATTTATTAAACATATAAAAAACAAGTTTGGGTTTTCTTTTTAAAATTTAGTTTACTTGAAAAGTTAACATCATAAGTTTCCTTTTTCCATAAACTTAAAGCATTTTAAGCATTGTTTTTTTTAAGTAAATTTGATTTTCTAATTTATATAGAATTCAGGAGATATGTTTAAAAGGGCTATTATCTATTCCCTATGCAAATATTTTAACTGTTGCAGTGTTTGACAAAATGGGATTTAAAAAAAAAAAGTTTGCAGAGTAGAAAACAAAAATGTTCTGTTTACACTGGCGTTGCTGACTATCCTACCATATTCAGCACTTTTAAATACATTATTTATGAAAATGTACTTAAAATATAAGATAGAAAATATTTATAATAATCATTTCTTTTAACAAATGCTAGTTCTTGTCTGAAAGTGTTAGTGTGTTAAGACATACTTTATCCATGTCAATTGGGTATTTACTATTTCTATAATAGTTTTCAGTAATATGTTGAAGAAGACAACTATGAAGATGTTTACAAAAAGTCATATTTTTTTTCCTAAAGAGTGAAGAAAAACCTAAAAGAATCATCCCATCTATTGTGAAGTTCTATTGTTCCTGAATTATTTAGTTTTGGGGTTAGAACTGAGTTTATTATGATACTATGATGTATACACATGTATGTTGTAATACCTTCCTTGTTGCTGTGTTTGAAGCACAATAAATTGGTGCACATGAATAGAAAATGTATAATATACTATGATACACTGCATGCATTGGTCTTTTAAAATGTAGGCTTTATATTCTTTTCGTTACTATACATGATGGTGACCTGCTAGTCATAAGTTATCTTTATAAGATACCTTGGACTATTAGATGAATTGTCTGTTTGACAATACTTTTAATATTTTACCAAATATTAAAAAGATAAGGGCCCTTATAAAGAGTCCTGATCTCTAATGTGGGCATTTGTAAAATGCAGATTTTTGAAGTTAGTTTATCCGCTTGAAACCTGATTAGGAAGTTGTATTGAGAATGATCCTAGGGTAGATTCACACCTCAGATGTTGCTAATCATGCTACATGAGCATTTCTGTGCTTAATTCCTATTTTTTTTTGGGGGGGGGAGGGACAGGTTTCTTGTTTAATTTCAAAATGTTTCAAGTTTCTACCTAAGAGTATGTCTGTATATTTGCAACTCTACAAATTTTTAAAGTATAGTATAATTCCTTCTGTTTTAATTACAAAGCTATAATAAACAAAAATAAATGCCCTCAAATGGTGTCTATGCTACCATTCCAAGAGCACAATATCTGTTTTGGTAGAATTAGATTTTTCCTAGTGAGTAAATTTCTCCCTGAGGAAAAATTAGCACTTTAGAAGGTACACTTGTGTTTTTGATTGCCAAGATATCCTTGTATACTGTGAGAATCTGCTAACGCACACAGAAAGAGGTTAATGCTCTTTCTATAGCACCTAACTTCAGATGTATCTGTCTATAATGGAAAGAAAAGTAGAGGATACAGATTATATATAAATATATATCAATACACTGGAGAGCCAGACTTCTTTAGAGATAGATCTTGTACGTAGATCACACTGACAGTAATGGATGACATGGCTTCTTCACTCTGGACACCTGTTACTATGTAATCTGAGGGTGACATAGAAACCCTGACAGTGTTACAGGGCAACGCACAGTGGGTGTGCTGGCATATGAACAATGACAGCAGAACACGGTTTTGATGTCAATGTTACTAAGTGCAAAAATCAAGACCAGAATGTGGTCTTTTTTTAAATCCTAAAATATGTACATAGGATGACCAGGTCTGATATTTGGTCATGGTGCATGGGGGTGTTTAATAGTAAGTATCTTTTAACGCTGCCTAGGTTCTTACGGAATGAAATGTGTATCATATTTTTACCTAAGAATTCAGTTTTGCGAAAGGACTATAGAAATAGGTAAATAATGTTTATGTAGTAGGGGCAAAAATGCATTTTCATCCCATTAAGATGATTTAAAATAATACCTAAGTCTTAATTTTGAAAAAAAATCTATTTTTCCTATACATTTTTAACTTACATTAAAAATAAATTAATTGTGACAAATAAAAATTACAATATATTAGACATATTAAGGAAAAATATACAATAAAATAATCCTTCTGAAGGCCACCTAAATTTCTTAGCTCTAAAATGCCTATATGAATTTTGAAAAATCTGCAATGCCTGCCTTGGCAAATTATTGCAAAAGGTGGTAAAGATATTTCCAGAAAGCTTTCTGACCTGTGTATTTATATTGACAGTTACAACAGTTAATTATCTAAATATACATTTACAAAGGATGATATTTGTGTGCTGTTTTCAGTTCTTTATAAATTTCTGACCAATGTAAAATGTTTGTTCTCCTGAAAAAATAGTCTTAAATCTGTAAAAGATTTAGCTAGTCCCCCCTGATCAGTTTTATCAGTAAAACTGATACCACCCTGACTAGTGTGGCTCAGTTGGTTGAGGATAGTCCCACTATGAGAGGTCACCAGTTTGATTCCCAGTTGGGCAGATGCCACATGCCTGGGTCACAGCCCAGTCAGTCCCTGGCTGGGGAGTGTGCGAAAGGCAACCAATCCATGTTTCTCTCCCTCTTTTCCTCTCTCCCTTGCCCTCTCTCTAAAAAACTAAATAAAATCTTGAAAAAAAAAAAAGAAACTTAATACCAAAAAGTTGCTTCAGATCTTCCCTGAAACACTCTCAATAGTATCCTTGCACCACAAACAGATTAAGTTTTATTTCCAAATATGAGGCTTTCATTATAAATTTGATTTCAAGTTACATGTCTGCCTTATGTGATTTTGGGCAAATCATTTACCCTGAGCATGTTTTCTCATCTGCAGATGAGGAACATACTTAATTTACAGGGTGGCCATAAGAAAGAAATAAAATAAACATACAAAGAATAAAGTGTTACGAATTATTTTAACAAAGTTCTCCAGCTGAGCTATAATTTCCATTTTTCAAGAATGTATTAAATGCCATTTGAATACACTTTTCTTATCTTTTCAAACCATACTTTAGAAATGTGATTTAATTATTCTTCAAAAAATACAACCAAGCTTATTTTCAAATGGAGGAATAGATGAATGATATTGCTTTGTTTAATACTGTGATTCAAAATCACTGTTTTCAGTTCATCAACATCACCCTCAATCCACAATCAAGAAATCGCACATACACACATGAAGATATATATATAGTTAGAGGTGTGTATACACATGTGCATAATATTATATTATAGGTTTAAGTCAGAGTTTAAATAAGAAAATATTTAAAATTTTTATTTCCATTGGAAATAAAATAACATTCCCAAGAAAAGGAAGCATATAAATATTAAGTAATTTGCCAAATAAATATGTGAGGGTAGAACCAAAGTTAAATTATAAGACTGGCCTTTAGAAAACATTGATACTGACATGGAATTGAAAGCATTCTTTTTAATATTAGAGTAGTAAGATTTTAAACATAATCTTACCATGGAAATAGAATAAAAGGCATTTGTATGTTCATAACATGTTTCATTAACATTTTACTTTTGAATACTTTCAGACTTACAGAAAAATTGCAAAGACAGTGCAGAGAGGTTCCGAGTACAGCACACCCATGAGATATCTGTCACATAATGAACCAGTATCAATGCATTAGGTCTATACTTCATTCACATGCCCTTAGTTTTTTACCATTTTCTGTTCTACGATCCCATTCAAGATACCACGTTACAATTAGTCATCATGTGTCCTTAGGCAACTCTTATCTGTGACAGTTTCTCCATCTTGTCTTGCTTTTAATGACTTTA